CAGTGATCCGGTGGCAAAGGCAAATGAGTCCAAACAGTTCGAGGGGGAATCCGGGGAGCAGTCCAGGGTTCAGGAACCGGGAGATCCATCCGAGACAAGACAAACATGGTTAAAATGCGGAACGGGATCTGGAACAGGGACAGGGAATAAAAACAGGGTACAGCACAGGCTTCCGGGCATCCATCTTCCAATGCTGAGCGAGGAACAGAGGGAGCGCCCACCTACAATAAAGATGGACAAATAAGGGACAGGGGCACGTAATAAACTAAAATATGAAAAGGTTGGAGCACCCTTAAGAGGAGGGATGAGGATCGTGATCTTTACAAGACTGGCTTGGCAACTTTTGATTTCCATCACTTCAGTTTCATAAAACAGCACATGTCCAGCAGATGGTTTAATTTGGGCTCCAGACTCAGGTTTCTTCTGTGCCGGATTCTATATATTGATGAAACAGAGGCACACATAAACATTCCAAAAACATTAAGAGACTTAGAAATCCCTTATATAATATTGTGATATAAGATAGTCTGGAACATATTATGTCATCCTACTCCACACCCTTTTCTCTGTTTTTTCATTTTTTTTAACTATTTTTACAAAATAAATTGCACTTATTAGGTCAGTATTCTCACAATCCTGTGTTCACTACCTCAACATGGCAACATGTTTACAACAGCTGATCAAGAAGAAGTACAGAGGGACTTTTTTGTAACTTGTGCGGTTCAGCCATACTGTGAAATCTTGTGATGTCCAGTCAAAGAAGAATGGAATAACTTGTATCTGCCTGTCAATTTTTCCCAATAATTATCATACCGATTAAGAAAATGCTCGCTTGCTCCAAAGAAAACCAAGAAAACAGCTGTATTTATGTTTATGAAGTCAGAATTTGCTAAGAATTCCTGGGCTCTGGAATCCAGACTACCACAGGTTTCCGGTCCTGGCCATACAGGTAGAAGTCTTTGTTGTTGGGTTTAAAGAACAAAACAAAAATTGAAAAATCATGGATTTGGAATCCAAAGGGTTAAAAGAAATAAGGCACAAGGGTGAATGATTAGTTTAACTGAGGAGTTGACATCTATTCCACTGTCAAGAAGAGCTCAGTGGATTTATTTGTTATCAGAAAGCTTGTGTGACCTACAAATGACAAGATAGCAAAATTGGGAAAGATGTACAAACTCCCAACTTTCCAATTATGTACACCAACAAGAAGCTACATTAGACTCTTTTGCTGGTTATAATTTACTTTAATGACTTATGAATGCTTAATTACTTTCAACACATTCAAGAACAGTTGTAAATTGCAGCTAATTCAGAGTCTGTTAGAAACATCAAAGTAAACCTTGAATTGGTCGGCTTACTCCTTTGAAACAAATACATTGAGCTTACCTGTTTGTTAGCCCTTTGCTGAATCTATAATATGAGTATTTGCAGATTAACACAACAGTTAGCATGTAATAGCTCTGAATAAACAAAACCACAGAACCACAGCATAGAACACTTGAAGAAAAGCGCTTGTGATGAATATGACCTGTAAAACCTGTGTTTAATTAATGACTAAGCCCTCTGTCTGCACTGATGAACCCATTAAATCTGTGATTAAGCCCCTTGTTTTAAGAAAGGTGTGTGGTGAGACAGAGCAGTGAGGTATGAACCTTGTCTAGTCAGGGTCAGCATTAAGCTTCTGCTAAAGGCATCACTAGGGGATGTGTTTGAAATGTGAACACTTTCTGGAATACTTTAGCACCGTAATACATCTTAACATTGAAGTCAACCATTCTCACCCAGGGGAGTCTTTATAATGTTCCAAGCGGCCTACATAAGAATTCACTGATGGAATCCTCTCAAAAACGTTATAAGTATATATTTGTTATAAATATATTTAGATATTTATTACTAAAAAAAATAAATTTAATTAATTGCTGTAGTTTGCTTGCAAATTTGTTTTATCAATGAAACAGAATTAAGCAAGCTTTTGAGATCTGTAATTTAAAGAATACTATTTCAGTACCTTTGACAATACTGTGGTCTTTTGAACTCCTGAAACATTTGGCGGTTCTTAATTTTATTATTAGTAGTATTGTTGTTTATTATTATAATAATTATTATTATTAGTGGATTTTTTAATCTTGCTGTTGGACACTTAGAATCCATGTTGTACTTCCAAAGACAAAAAAGAAAAAAAGACACAACTTTTATGATAGACATCATTTGATCCAGATGGTAAGCAAAATGTTCTTTAAGAATTTTCCTGCCATGGAATATCGTTCGCTCAGCCTGCAGCCTGACCACTGTGGAGTGTAATCTCCAGAGATCTCAGAAGCTAAGCGTGGTTAAGCCTGGTCAGCACTTGACAGCAGACCTCCATTGGAGACCAACAGGTGCTGCAGGAGCCCTTGACAAACTCACTTGCAGAATTTCACAACATGTTCTGAACACTACTCAACTTGTTGCTGGCTAGTTATAGTAATGCCCTTCTAGCAGCTACATTGAATTGGAATAGGATATTGCAATAGTAAAATAAAATACAGAACTTAAATGTTTAAAAAGGACATCCTTAGACAACTACATTAATGTATACAGTATATGAATTAATATTCAGTGTTTTCTGCTGGAATACTGTACCGCTGGGAAGTTCCTCTTTTTCAAGAAAACATCCAGAAAATAACAATTTCACTTGGCGCTTATCACCTCTATTTTAACTAAGCTCAGCCTGCACTTTGTGTAAGAAGACGGCAAAAGTTATTCAGACAGTTATTGAGAAAGAAAATGAATGCTTCTTTGGCTTACTTTCAATGGTGCAATTAGGCAATGTTTAAGTAGGGCTGTGGACAATGAAAAAAAACACCTTTCATAAATTAATCAATAAATAAATGGCTCTTAATTGTAAGACATGCCTTCTTGCTTCCATGGATTGGGGCTCTGATTTATGCTGATGGGTTGCTATCCAGAGCAATAAACAAATAAACAAGTGGAAATAACTGTGGCCTTTTCCTGCTGAAGCTCCCAGAGTGCTGGCACATTAGACTGAATTTCAGACAGAAAATGAACACAGGGTTCCCCTCTCTTGAACTCACAGTGACAGGTCCCCCAGCATCTGCTTCAGCACAGTGGTTCAGTGACCCTCAGATCTACTGGGCCCTTTGCCTTTACAGTTGACAAGTACAAAGGGGTTTACTGAACTGCTGAGCTTTCGTTACAGGCATCTGTATGGCTTAGCCCGTGAGCTGCAGTGCTCAGAACAGTGAGTTTTATTAACTCGAGGGACGGGGAAGGGGTCTCCAGTAGCTCATCTTATATCAGCACTCGGCACGATGCCTGTGACAAGACATTTTAGACGAGGTGGCAAAGATGGGTGACAGCTGTGCCAGGTTTTTAGATCATAGCACAAGTATCACACCAGTCCTCCCAGGTTCACTAGCTCTTTTAAGCAAAATACGTGTTTATTGAGTGAGCAGAGCATCTGGTCGTAGATTAGAAAGAAATTCAATGACATAAGTAGGGTAATTTAAAATAACGAAACCATACAATGCTAAATAATCATCCTAATACCAAAAGCAATGTCTCTGTGATCATTGGATACATTGTTGAAAAAGGAATGTAAAACAATTTAACTACCTCAGTGTATGTAAGCATCATTTCTGGATACATTCTTTGTTTAAGGTTGTAGATGGGAGCACCGTAAGAGATAGTGATGGGTCAACAAGCTGAGTGGATAATGTATCAAGGTCTCAAATGAAATACTATGTGTATCAGTTTTAGATAAGGTTACTGTGTTGACAGAAATAGTCACGCTCTAATCCCTAAGCCATTTGGTTGACGTTTCTTCAATTTTATTTAATTAATAAACACTAAAAGAGAGTAAATAAACTATAAAAAATGACCATGCAATTTGCATTAAGCTCCTGTGAACATTTCCTGTTTAGACCACTGTTCAATCTCATGTTAATCCCTGCAGCATAAGTGAGTTTCTCAGGGCGGTTATGTGACCTTGCTGGGAAAACCAGAGAGATCCAGAGCAGATTTAAAGGTTTAGTTTTTATTGCCGCCAATTTTCTACATTGCAGCCACTTGCCTTTCCAGTAAGAGGGTGGTTTAGCTGAAACAGCAGTTTCATTGTACAGCAGATATTTAAAATAGGGAAAATGAGCTTTAAAGGAACAACTGAAAGTGAACCATAATGTCTGATACATTAATCTTCATTGACATTTCGTGTTCCTTCTAGAGTTATTTATTTTTTCAGAAATCAGGTATTGGAGGACAGGATCCTGAAGACTTTAAAAACCCTTTTAACCCAACACCTGCTGAGGAGCTGGGAAGGATGTGAATTGTGACTAATTAGTAAAAAAATAATGTTTTGTCCCTGTATCCTAGAGATAAAGGTTCCTTAGTCACACAATAAAGAAGCCTGAGACCTTTCCTCTTTATAATGAAAGTCATTAACATATAAGGACATATGGACTGGTAATGATGGATTTACTATTTTTAAGTGGGAATAAATTAATGCATATCTACAGAGCTACAAACAAATATTGTGCACCCACCCAGTAGGTATAGCATGAACACCAACCTGACCGTCTCCAAGCATACTGAGGAGACCGGTGGAAGGAGAGGCGTCAAGCTTCTCCGGGCTTTGCGCGGTCCCGTGAGATCTCCACAGAAAATAAATGGGTTTAATGCTGATGTGAAAATTTAAAAATCCCGTAACATCGCTACGTAACTTTAGTTGTTAAGTGTTTCTTTGTACTCTTCCCAACTGGCAGGAAAAAGCACAAGATAAAAAGGGATTCTGAAGACGCCGTAAAACAGGCTTTCTTGAACGTCCTTAAAGATATATTAAACACTACAGTTTTTTGGGGGGTTTAATCTTCAATTGTAAATTGTGATCCTTATTGCCCGCTGTCAGGAACTGCGGGGAGAGCTATCTTAGGTGTTTTAAGTTGAGAAGTGCGATGGAGGAGGAGGCTGGGAAGCTAAACTGGGCGGACACATAAAAACTGCGAGCAGCATGCGATGCGAGAGCAGTTCTCAAGTTGCCTGCGCGCGGTGCTCTGGTTTAAAGCTGCTCGGCAGAAGAGATCTTCATCTCCGTAGAGGCTTCGCCTGACTGGCCTCCAGGACGAGCCTCTCAGTGTGCTTTTGGGAGATTTAACGGAATTAACGTGTGTCATTTGATGGTATCGTCGTACTTTCCAATAGGTTTCGTCCTTGGTGCTTGATTTTTTTTTCTTTTCTGGACTTTCGTTATTTTTTCCTGGAACTTTTTCCCAGTCCATTCTTTAGTCATCTTTACTTTAAATCTGCGAGTAACACCTGGACCTGTACTGATGGTAAGAGCGAGTTTCCCAAGTTTTGTGATAAGGCTGGCTTGCGAGAAATCATTTTAAATAATTATGGCTTTGCCAAAACCAGTGGATACGGATGATCCGCTATTAAAACCTTGAAGAAGTACTGTGACGGGCAGGCATTTTCTTAAATATGAAATGTTTCTAGAAAACTTTTAGTCAGATCATTTTTGTTCTCTGACGTTTAAGTTAAATTTAAAGCAATGTAGTATGTGTTCATTTATCTAAAATATTTTAGTTTTGTGTCTTACATGATATGTTTTAATAGCTTTATTGTTAACGAAATTAACGATGCTGGTTAATGAACATGTCATTACGTTTTGTTTCATGTGTAAAAAGAATTGGTTTGCATGAAATAAAGCTTTTATTGTCTGCATTAGAAAGTCAAACTATAGAGAAATATGCTCGTTAACATAGAACAAGGTCCAGAAAACGGAACAAAAACTGACGACATTTCAAAGCTGTACCCAGATGGAGTTTGAGTTTATATCGTTTTCCTCCTTTTTTTCTGTTCCGAAAAAGATTAACACTCACACGATTCTTGAACTGCTACACTATAGCCTGTTCAAAACTGACACGGTTTCCGTTAAGGTGATCATCATTGTTGATAGCGGTGAAGAGGGGTTTGAAGAAGCTGGCCCGGGTTACAATGCGGAGCGTCGGGGACCGATAATGAACACCTGCCTAGTACAGTTATTGATTTAGCTACGTGTAATCACTTAATTGTTCTGTCCCAAAAGACACGCAGCGCGTTGCAGGTCTTAAGCGCGGCTCAGAATGGTTTAATCTATTTTACACGGGTCTCAGACAAATTAAAGCTCCCGTGTGGTCTGTATGTTGTTTTAAACCTGTCTAGTCTAACGCAGTGCCAATCAAAATGTCAAGGCTGCGTTTAATATGCTGTCCAAGTGTGCACCCATATCTTTTTTTTCTTTACTTTTGCTCACACCAGCCTTTGGGCTCGATGATGCAGAACGTTTAAATCCGAGAATTTTGCCTCACTTTTATTTCCTACTTGTTTTCAAAAACTAATCAGAAATACAAGCGTGTTGGGGGGGGGGGGCTCATATTTATCTTTTCCCGCAGGAAACATAATCTAAAATATATATATATATGTGCTAACGTAGTCTGAACATGAGCTACAGGAATATTATTGTAATCTGAAAATCAAAGAAATGTACCGTAGCTAAAGGAGGGTTGTACAAACAATTGTTTTGACCTTAAATTAAAACAATCATACCTCTTTAAGCCCGTGTGTAAGAGTGTGCGCCGCTCAGCTGCCGGGGTTGCGCTCTGTGCAAATTGATGTTATATAATGAGGTATGAAATAGGCCCATTTTACATTATTTTACACATACATTCTCTCCATTTTCTCCCAATTATTTAACAGTAAAACAGAAACCAGCGGGTAGTTTATTGATTTCAAGTATATTCGGGGAGGGTCATTCTGGCATTCAGATGGTTGTGCAAAGGAAAGGTTTCTGTTCTTAATTTACGAAGTTGGCCTCCCTGTTAAGTATAAACAGACTGTTGTGCTCTGTTTTAAATGTCAGTGCTCGGATGTTAAAAACAAAAAAAAGAAGAAATGAGTGACTAGCAGATTTTAAAATTGGAGCTTAAGCGGTTACACATATCAGAAGAAAGTGCCGGGAGCGGAGAAACAATATAAATATAATCAATATAAATCAACTGCAGTGTTTGACATTGCCAAACCAAAATGTTTTGTTCGGTCTATTATTATTCGCCACACATGTGAAATGCGTAGGAAATGGCATACATCTATCACAGGAAATTAAAAAACAGTGTCATATTGTTAAATCCGCAAAACCGTTGTTTAGTTTGTTGATCGATTTAAGTTATTTATACTTGACAACGAATTAATGCTGGCTTTGTTTTAGAAATTTGGAAAGGAAAACGCGCTGAAAGGTCAATATAACGCTTTTGTGATCAAATAAATAGCAATCTATCTATATCTACAATACACCATGAAGCGAAGATAACTGCGTTTAAAGCAGACCCGGCAGTGAGAGGTTTGATATTCTGATACTTGCGTGTTATAAAACCTTTCGTTTCCTGAGGAATAGTGAAACTACGTGGCTCGCTGCAGTTCAGATATTTGTTGTGATTGCCCAGTTAACCTGCGTTCGTTTGTGCTGTGTTAATCAATACCTCCGTTGGTTACGTATAAAATAACCACAACGCATTGGCTGTTTCAGACTGTAAAAAAAGCTAAATATAATTAAGAAAATGGTTAGGTTGGGGGTTGGGGAGATGGGGGTGGAGTTCTGACACCTCACTTGCTTTTCTTTTAAATTGACAAATATTACCTAAGTGAAGTGTATGCATGATTGTACATATCATAATGTAGCTTCATGGTTATAGGGAGGTTTATATTAGAAGAATTAACATTTTACCGCACTCATATCTTAGATTTAAGAAACGATTAGCTGAATTGGAATGCAAAGAAACAGTCCCTCAGTTTGCTATTTAACACTAAAAAGTGTGAATGATACTCTCAGTAGGAATCGGCAATTGAGGGAAGAGCTGGTACCTCATACATGTTCGTATTATTAGTGTTTTGAATGGCTTTTGCTTAATAAATCATTTGTTCCCGTTTCTATTAATGGGTCAGTCCCATACGGTAATTAAAACAAAATGTACATCTAAAGGATGTTTTTTGTTCAGTTTCTTCACTTTTTATCACACCCTCCTCTGTGCTTTTGAGATATTGAAATATAAAGCCTTGCACTTGTTATCCGAGCCTTTGTATGTAAAAGATTTTCTTTGATCTAATCCTATTTTAAACAATAGGATTTTTTTTTTGCTTTGAAAAAGTTCTGAACTTTTCATGCTTGAATATTTCCACTGTACTAACAGAAACTAAGTATACTAGTTACCAGTTTTGGTATGCAAAATCAGATTTAAACTAGACTGAAAATACAAAATGTACCAATTGAAATTATTTAGTTTTATGTATCTTTTTAGGAGGTTTGCCCTCGTAAACCATAAATTCTGTCATTGTAATTATTCAGATTCTGTCATTTGGAATTATGGAACAATCTAACCATGCATGTTGCTGAAGCTTCGTTCAAGAAATAGCTGGCTGGCCAGATCAATTAGATACTAAGTACTTAATGGGATAGATAGACCACATATTACCAAAATCCTTTTTCTAGGACATCTAACAATGCACAAGTAATGGGAACATCAGATGCACCAGTGATGTCCCATTTGTATGTAAAGGAAGCAATTCTCTTAGGAAGTCACCATGAAGCCTATCTAATGCAATGCGTGCACATTGACATTTCATATCTTTGTTTTACAGGGAGTCTTTTCATCTTAATTCATTATAATACACAGGGCTCACACTATAAGGAGACAGTTTTAGTCAGTCCTGTTACCATGCAGGAAAAATCTGATGTCATGGTCATGAGTTGTTGTTTTATCCCATTAAAAATCCTTAGTGAAACTGTGGGGGGAAGACTATCCTTTTGGTCTATACAAATTTGCGCCATCCAGCTCTACATATGTCCGAGATATAAAGCAGTTTGAATTGCATTCTGTAAGGTTTACATAAGGTTCAGTGGATGTGGGGAATTTGTGAGAGGACAGTAAAAAAACTGCACCACCCAGTACACAAATCCATAGAGTACAAAAGGAGGCAATACATTTAATAAAGGAGGATCATAGCAGGATACACAAACTGTAACAATGTTATCCTAGGTTAAATGGTAAACAACTACAGTCATGCGTGGTGTGGAGAATAGGAGAAGGCCAAAGAAATTGTGCCAAACCAAAGGCAGCAAGCTGTTGTGTTTTAATAGCATCCAAGGCTACATGGATTTGAACCTCAATTTTAAAGAAAACAGTTTGGTCATGAATCCTTCTCATCTTGAGTAGTATATTGCGATAAAACAGAACCTGTTTTCAGTTCATCATTCATACTTGTTGTTATACCACCCACCAGATAAGGTTTTGCTGGAGGTAAATGCATGATTGCTGGGACCAGAAAAGCTGGCAGTTTTGTTTCTGATGTTGCCATTGCCCCACCTGTACAAATCAGCTAATTCCTATGGAACTAGAGTTTTGTGTGGAGACTAAAGTAGAAGAAATGTGATTTGACATACTTTAGAGGATTGGCATGTGCTTTAAATAAAGCTTTTTGGCCTAATCAGGTTTCTGCCTGGTATTCCCCAGAAGAAGTATTGATATTGGCATTGACAGCTTGTAAGACTGATATGCTTTTAAGTGCCCATTTTGTACCATTAGGATACAAAATATTACAAGAAAAAGACTGACTTCTGAAACTGTGGTTGCAAAATAAGTAGATTTATGACATAATAATGATCGGAAGCAAGAGGCCTGAGTTTGTCTGCTAATGCTTAAGGTATTGTTTGCTGCATTTTTTGTAATTGTTTTTGCATGGTTGTGTAAAAATCCACACATGAAGAACATCCAATTTCTTTCCTGTAAATATGTGTGCTGTGTTTGTGTTGTAAGTCTTGGTCCAGATCCAAGAGGAGAGGCCCAGATAATGACTGAACCAACCTGTAGTTTTGAGCACTTATATCCACTCAAAACAGCTGTTGGCTCTTTACAGTTCCTAAGCCTGAATTAAACAAATGCTTTTGGTTTTAATAGTGTGATTCATAAGTCCGATTAAAATAGTTAATTAGTCTAAACACCAACTAGTGGGGATATTTAAACCAGAATTTACTCATTAGTCATTCCTTATGAGGTTTGTTTTTGTGTGACTGGATGATAATTTTATACTTGGGCTACATATGGTTTTCAGAAATGTCAGGTCTTCCAGATGATAAAAATAATTTTCATTGCTTTTGGCACCCTAGAACCTTTCCACATTGTGAATATGTTTCTGCTAAACGACACAAAACTACCCTAAAGGGACACTCACAGTCCCATTGATTTACATACTATCTGGAACATGCTACTTGTCTTATCTTGGATCCTGATCTTTGACCAGCCTGTTTGTGTTTAGATGAGTAAAGCTGTAATTACTCTCTTGAAATGTCTGGGTGAAGGAATCTTAATCAGTCGATGGCATAGTGGCAGTGGGCAATGTGCTCCACAAATTTAAATGCATTCCTGCCTAATGCGATGCAAACATTAGAAGTTCCCCAGCAGCTTTTCAGATGGGTATGTTTGCTGTATATTTACATTCAACAGATTTGATCTGCATATGTCCAAGCCTTTCCCTGGGTAAAGTCATTGTGTTTCTTGCTGGGAGTGTGCACCCTTTAGGTGAGTATATTTTAATGGGCGATCAATGGTTTGATTTGGCTTTCTAATGAAGCCTTTGGGAAGCTTGCCAAAAGCTCTTCATTGAATTGCAGATTCCTTCATTAACTCATAGTGTGCCATGACAAACCATTGACTGTCTTTAACTGTTGGGAGAAGCATTTGAATTTGGAAGCACAATGTAATGTTCAATGACTTTTTTAGTAGTAATTGCTCTGATTTTCAGCTGAAAAGCTGTAACTATATTCATGCCTTGCAGTGAATTAGATATGTGTTTCAGGCATTGTTTCCTTTGCACCAAGACATTTACCTATGAATGTTATGTGAGACATTCCACATTTTCTGTATAATTATTGGACATCAATATCATAATGTAGATATAAAAGAAATGGCTTTTATTGCTCAATAATTAGAATATCAATTCAATAATTAGAATATCAAGGCCAATAATGGTATTTGCACACATACATACATACAAAATACATGCAGTACAAAATACATGCAGTACATACAAAATGTATACGATCACAAACCATATCTTTCTTGTAATAAAGTTTCTCTTTACCTTTTGGACTCTTTTTGTACTGATGTGGTTTACATTTATCCAGGCACCACCACAAGCTCTCTTGAAAAATGATAAACTGTGATGAACTTTGATGAAGAATGTAAAAATTGTTTTTGCACTGTGGTATTTTCCATTAACTAAAATTTACAAAAATACAGACAACACAATAAAAAAATTACATTTTTTAAAGTATCTATGGAAACAATGTCCAGCTGTGCTTTTTACTGTATGGGTATATATATTTAAGTTTCTTTTGAACCTAGTCTCATAACTACGCCTACTCACCTACTGCATGTTTTATACCAATATGTGTATGGCAAGATAGTTCAGGTGGGTAGCTGCGTCAGCATGCGTATGCTGCAAAGGAACAAGTAATAGGTTTATTCCATGCCGAAAAGAGAAGAAAGAAAACACAATGTTTCGGCCATGGAGCCTTCTTCGGGTGTGAGAACAACAGGGCAGTCTTGCTCACAATTTTGGTGTAGGTAAATCTACACATACTAGGAAAACCTTCAAGAGGGTTATTAGAGCAGTCTGGTTTACTTCTTTCCTCTGGCATACCTATTTTCTTTGCTCAGTCAACGTTCGTGTTCAGTAAGTGTGCCCCTCAGTGAATCAATGAGGTAGAGATGTAAAATATATCACAGTATGTTGTATTGTCTGCTGTACAATCACCAACCCCACCAACGCTAGTACTGACTGATCTTTCTCTGCCTTCCAAATTATTTTCATTTCGCCACCATTGAATCTCTCATTTTCCCCTTATTCATTTCAGGAACAGGTTCACAACGACGTTCTCAAGCAGCCTGCAAACACGACTTAACATTTCCTCAAGAAACGTGTCCAACATTGGCTCTCAAGAAACATGGACTGTTTTCCCATGCTCTATTTTCTGTCAGTGAGTAGACGATATAATTTCATTGTATATGATACCATCCATTATCTCTAAAAACATGGTTGTATTCGCAGATATATACAAAACCTTCACAGATATATTGAAAACAATTTCCATAAGTTGCCAGATTTCCTATTCCCCATCAGCTGCATTTTCTTACACGATTAGTTGAATTTAGTCTCCCTTAATCAGACTTTTGCACTTTCTATTCCTCACTGAGTTAAAGTTTAGTCTGACCCCATTGCCTGAGGCCATTACTCTTTTATTTTTTTCTAATCATCTAGGCGGAGGGAGGAAAAGACGTGGTTCTTCAAATTCCATTCAAACAGTTTTTTTTAGCTGTTTATTCTTTGTGAATCCAGCCTAAGATAATTACTAAGATTGCGAGCTTAGACAAAAAAGGCTAACAGGATAGGAGATATCTGATTATGGGCTATTTGACTGTAAACAAGCTAGACCAAGTAATTATTGCCAAGTAAAGATGTTTTCAGTGGGAATCAGGACTGTACTGGAACCACAAGTGTTTTTTTTGTTGTGTTCTGTTTTTTTTTTCCTCAGGGAAGATTAGAGAGTTTTAATCTGAGCACCAGTGTCTTTCTCTCCCCTCTCTCTCTTGACCTCACCCAGAGACATCATGATTCCTGGTAATCGAATGCTGATGGTCATTTTATTATGCCAAGTCGTACTAGGAGAGAGCAACCATGCTAGTCTAATACTGGAGGAAGGAAAGAAAAAAGTGTCCGAGCTGCAGGGCCGTCGCTCTGGGCAAAGCCATGAATTGTTGCGGGACTTTGAGACCACGCTGCTGCAGATGTTTGGGCTGCACCAACGTCCCAGGCCCAGCCGCTCCGCAGTGGTGCCACAGTACATGCTGGACCTCTATCGCCTGCAGTCCGGGGAGGCAGAGGAGGCCGGCGCTGTTGATGCCAGCTTTGAGTACCCCGAGAGGTCAGCCAGTCGAGCCAACACAGTGAGGAGCTTCCATCACGAAGGTAACAAGGCAGCGGGTCTGTATCAAGTCGAGCTACAGGTGAAATCTGAACCAGTACGATAGGCGAGCAGCTCTGATCCACTTGGGATGCAAGCTGTGGTCTCTTTAATACATCAACACCTGAACAGTTTCAGTTGGGCCCGTTAAGAAAACAATTGTCTCAGTTAAGAACTTGTCTGGAACAAAAGGACAGGGAAACATCAGGCCTCTCTTGGACTGAAAGTAACTTCCTGACAAGTGAAAAATATGATCAGCATATCATGTAATGGAGTGAGAAGAACAAGTGCATTCTGCATTCAAATTATGAGGAATAAAATCACCCAAAGAAACAGATTTATGTTAATTAATGGGAAGTTTTGTATTAGTTCTCAAACTTTAGCACAACCATTTGATATGGGTATTCGTTTTGAACTTTTTGTTGTTAATGTTGGCTGTATTACAGAATCATTCTAGTTCTTCATGGCCTGTTGGTCAATATTAGGATGCAATAAAATAAGTACTATTGCTTAATAAGTAAGTTAAAATTGAGGAAATACAAACTCCTACCAAAAGTGCATTAAATATTTCTTGTACAAATGTATTTTGAAAATAGCAATGAAAAATAGAATATTCTTTAGCAATCTCTTTCTGTTTTTATATTTAGATTTTACATTTATATTTGCATGCAAAAAATACAATTGCTGCATTAATAAAATTTCTGGCACACTTAGGCTGTCATCTTATTTAATTAAAATGTAACATTGATATTTCCGAAGTCAATTTAATTTAAAAAGTGAAACAAAATCCCCTTATCCATTTTTCTAAACTAAGTTTTTTTTTTTAGCTCTAAAACCAACCAGTATTCACCAAGATTTTATTGTACTCCAAAGCATATTGTAATCTTACAGGCTGGTGCGTGTTTGATGTTGTGCTCAAGGAAAGCCTGCCTTCTTATGATATTATTTTAGTACCAAAGAGCTACCCCACCCCCACAGGAAAAAAAAATGGCTTCTACAAGAGGACGCCTTTATTCCCAGTGTAGGGATCTTTAGTGGGATTCAGAGTCGCATTCACTATGTAATTATTTTAATACCATACTGTAGTCTGCTAAGTACTGTTCCCTGCCAACAGTCTACAATACTGAATAGTCACTGGACACAAAAAAAATTAAAAACAAAGTAATGCTTGTAGTAAGGTGTTAGGAATCTGGAATATTTCATGTGAAAACTACAAAAAAATATGGATTTGTAAACAAAAGGCCATTCCTCTGGGATGCTGTTGTACATACAGACATAATAAAAACAGTCAAGTTGCTCTAAGTTAGTAGTGGGAAACCTCAATGCTAGCCAACATTAAAAAGTACTGTATGTCAGTTCTCTGGGAAGGACAGTGCTATGCATTACTTTAAATGGAGGATTATCGAATAGTGTAGAGTGTGTGTGGAGACGCAGGCAAGCCATTACTGCAGTTGATCACAACAAAAACTTGAGACAACCCTTGCATTCTGTTGTTTTAAAAGGAATATGGCAACATACATTTCGTATCTCCTTAACTTTGCAACAACTAAGTAAAATGCCAGAACTTTCTATGCTTTATTCTGCACTCTAGATATCTTCATGAGTTGTAGAGTGCGTGCAAGCTTATTCACATTTCCAGGCAGAAAACATGGCTCTGTTTCCAGCACTTGTAGATATCCATAGAATATAGGAAATGTATGTAATGGCCACAATAAATTAATCAAAATATATAACATTTTTCACGAATCTGATATAAAGTGAGAAACTCCCATCTATTTAGCTATATGAAATTGCTTAGGCACAAGTGCATGGGAACAAAATATTGAACCTTTCCGTATAAGGAAGAGTATTTTCATAAGGAGAATTAATGAGAGTTTAACTTGTTTCCCTTTAAGAAAGGAACTTCCAAGAACGGAAGTGATTGATAAGACTTGTACTCATGGTTTCCCTGATACAGCTGATAAGAATGGAGATAGAAAGGCAGTGGAAATGCAGACCAGTCAAATGCTAGAGCTGCCCGGAAAGATTAAAAAAAGTTTTTCTTTTGTTTCATTTTTGAAACAACAGAAGATAAAGACATTCGTGAATAAAACAGAAAACAAAAGGCATTGAAAAAAACCTGAGAAGGAATAAAATCGCTGAAATTGTATTTTCACACTAAACTGTTACAATACCAGAAGTAAACATACTTCTTGGAAATAACAGAATCATTATTCTGGAAGTAAAAAGCCACTATGAATCCCAAGAGATTGAAACCATTGTGAAAACAGACTTTATCCATATAGCATGCGTATTTCTTTGCCACTGACAATCACTTAATCTAAGTCAGTAATGATTATTTGCGATGAAAATGATAAATGTTAAGAGTCAACAGACTGCTGATCCAAACCAAAAACATAAGGTTTTAATAATGAAAACCACCTGCCCGAGATTAAGTTTGGGTGTGAAATAATGAGGGTGGATTGATGAGAAAAATGGTAGACACAACATTCTTTGAACAACTACAAATGTGCCAAAAAGCCACAGAGACCCTGCACACTGACAGACCAAGAAAGGGCATGATGGATTTTGTGAAAATATACCATTGAATTTACTCATGTCTGGAGCAAGGATTAATGGAACATTTGATAATGCAACTAACTAGTTAGCTATTTTGATTTTGCCAGTAGCATTGCCAAATTAGTAAATCAAAATTATACTCCCACAAAACAATGCTGTATATGTTTCATTCCCGTTGGAAGGCTTAATAAACTTAGCTCATTTGTTTGTAGGAGACATTGCTCAGTGAAAAATAGGAAAAGCTGAACTCTTTGAACTCTTGCAATAAACTCTTCTTTGCTGGTGAAAAATGATCAGTAGAAATCTATCCAGCCATTTTCTGTACTGCTTTATCAAGTACAGAGTTGCGGAGACGCTGGAGCCTAACTATTTAACTAATGGACAGAAGGCAGAATATACTCTGGATGGGATGCCAGTTCATTGCGGGGCAAACACAGACATGCACACACTCGAACCAGGGCCATTTTTTGCCAGTAAACCCACAGGAAACCCATGCAAATATGAGGAGAACATACAAGCTCCACACAGATAGCACCCTAGGAATCAAACCCAGGGCCCCAGTGCTGTAAACTGCAAAGCTAACTGTGCCACCCACTCAATCTACTGTTCCAAAAAATAGTCACAATAGTCATTGTCATGACAGCATTTTTAAAAAGTAATCTAAAATAATTTGTATGTGTTCCCTACGCAATAAATTAGAGCATTCACACTTATTCATATACATTTGGATGTCAAAATACTGTAATGGACTTAAATCACTGCGGACATGTGTGAAATAATGGCTGAGTTTTTGTAGTCAATCCTAAATGATTGTAGCATGAAATATTGGACAAGTCATAATGTTACCATTCAGTGCTGTGTTTTTAATTAAAAATGATCATGTAAATTTACAACGTTGCCAGTGCAACATCAGTATTCAAATTAAGAGGTTGCTTTCAAAAAACAAAATGTGCACTGACTTGATCAAAACCGGTGTTTGTCCATTAAACTGTACATGGCAATCAAAAGCACAGTTCCATTAGGAGATAAACTCAATGATTTAGCCTGCCCACTTGGGTTGTATTGTGGAAGATAAGCTTTAAAGGCATTGGAATTCCAATCTGCTGTGGTTTTGATTATTGAAATTGACACCAGTGTCTGTTTGATTTCCACATTAGGATTGAATTAACAATACACTCTGGTTCAAGAAACAATTATATGAAATGCAGAAACATGATGTGAACAATCTGGACTCTGGAATTCTTTCGGATCACAGCAGGTTTTTTTATTTTAAAAGCTAGACATGCAAGTCTATATTTAGTAATTCTCTGTGCTATTTGTGTAATTCAGCATCTTTTTCCATTTAAGTATCTTCAATTAATGCCTGCCTGGGACTAAGATAAACACTGTTCATATTGTGTGTACTGTCAAAGCTGGTGCCGGTCCATATGGTACGTGTTTCATTATAGTTCTCAAGACACACAGGAAGGTAATGTTTTTCGACCTTCGGTGCCTCTGAAAGAATTCTTCTGAGAAGGACTCATGTCTGGTTTGTCCCTTTCCCTCTTTCCCAGAGCACCTGGAGCGCGTGGAAGGCGAGCAGGAGAACTCGGACACTCCTCTCCGCTTCTTCTTCAACCTCAGCAACATCCCCGAGGACGAGGTGCTGTCCTCAGCGGAGCTCCGGCTGTACCGGCAGCAGGTGGAGAACGCGGACCAGCACGGGGAGGCCGAGGGGCTCCACCGGATTAACGTCTACGAGGTCCTCAAGCCCCCCCGGGCCACGCAGCTCATCACGCGGCTCCTGGACACCAGACTCGTGCGGCACAACGCCTCGCGCTGGGAGAGCTTCGACGCCAGCCCGGCCGTGCTGCGCTGGACACGGGACAAACTGCCCAACCACGGCCTGGCCGTGGAAGTCCTCCACCTCAACCACACCCCCACGCAGCAGGGCCGCCATGTGCGCGTTAGCCGCTCCCTCCACCGGGACCCCGGCGAGGACTGGGCCCAGCTGCGCCCCCTGCTGGTCACCTTCGGCCACGACGGCAAGGGCCACCCCCTGACCCGGCGGGCGAAGCGCAGCGCCAAGCCGCGTGGCCGCCGGAAGAACCGGAACTGCAGGCGGCACACGCTGTACGTGGACTTCAGCGACGTGGGCTGGAATGACTGGATAGTGGCACCGCCTGGATACCAGGCGTTTTACTGCCAGGGGGATTGCCCGTTTCCTCTGTCAGACCACCTGAACTCCACCAATCACGCCATCGTGCAGACGCTGGTGAACTCTGTCAACACCAAGATCCCCAAGGCCTGCTGCGTGCCCACAGAGCTCAGTGCCATTTCCATGCTGTACCTGGATGAACACGACAAGGTGGTCCTCAAAAACTACCAGGAGATGGTGGTAGAGGGTTGTGGCTGCCGTTAAAGGACAGCAGCGGTGAAAAAAACAAACTCTAATTGCCCAGACTTAATGCCCCAAATCCTTCACTTGGACCCTTATTTATAACTTTTATGTGGAGGTGTATGTTTGTCTCATTTTTGCTTCTTGACAATATGATCATATATTTTGACAAATATATATATTTATAACTACATATTAAAAACAAATTAAAGTGAGTCCTTATTTTAAACGTTAATAAATAAAAAAAGAGCTGTACAACTTTTTATAATGTATATTAGATTGTATAAGGTCTTTTTAATTGAGAAAATAGTGAAAAATGCATAACAAAAAAATGTTTGCTCATAAGTTTATATACTGGTAATATTTATTGCTTTCATATTATATACACTATGGAAGAAAAATAATAAAAAGTGCCTTCCACTATTACATTTGGAACAGATCTGAGCAAACACTTCTGTTCACACATTTTCTATTGTCGTAGAAAGCAGGACAGTGTGAGATGTCCAGAAAGCAGGGAATACCAGCCGAAAACATAATACACATTTTCTAAATCCTTTTCTCTCGGAAATAACTTGTAGCACAAACCTGGTGAGGTAAATTAGATTGCTGGAGACTCAAGTAATAGAAGAGTGAGATAAAAAATGAACACTTTTAGTTTGAAACAGTAATGTGTAACACTTTTCTGTAACTTAAAATCTCACCGATTTTTCACATCTGCAGTTGTTATTTGTTCTTTGTGATTGTCTTTCGTTTGTTCGCAGAGTTGTCAGACTGTTAATATTAAGCAGTGTGTGTCCTTACAGAAAGAAGAGCAGAAACAAAAATGGACAAAACAATTCTACGCGTTTGAAACGCTGGCGGTAAATGTTTCTACTGTGCCTCAAAAAACATTTTCAGCTCATTTTTCTGAGCGTGGCACTGATTTGCATCTTTTTGGCAGTGTTAAATAGCATTAAAAACGGTTTCAGACCTGTTCTGGGAAGAAACAAAATGTAAAATCACACAAAACAACATGCAAAAGGACAAACACAAGTCAGAGGTTAGATGAAAACTGTTATATAAATTTGTCCTTTTATATAAATGAGAAAATAGATACCTTTTACGTTTTTAAGAGAATATTTGTCCATGCAAAGTTATAGTAAACCCCCTGAGACATGACCTTGGTCTGTGGCGATTCTGGTTACAAGAGTTGATTACCGTACCTAAATGAAATTCTAGGTTTTACTATCCCACCCCCTGACAATAAAATGGTTTCTCTCAGTCTCACATTTCACCTTCTAGACTGGAATGATTTACGTACAGACCTGGGTGTCTCAAGAAGCTGAACAGGAGTAACACCATAAATGCCAACAAATAAACTAGGCCATGATAACTGGAACGGTATGCAAAGGTATCTTTATTGACGCCGCTTAACTGAATAGTTTAAAATGCATTTTCTGCAATTCCGAGAAAGCGTATCCTAATAACAGATCAGGAGATCTGGAATAAGAAAGTTTCGAAAGTTCCAGAATTCTGTATTTTTGAAGGAAAAAAAAAGATAATGATTATGACAATGAACCGAGAAGGAGATAAAAAAGCTGGACGATGACGGAATGTAGGATTTCCCAGCTTTCAAATAAATTGAAGAAGTAACTTGAAATGATTTGCTTTTTTACGTTGTAAATCCGGGGACCCGTATTCTTCTGTTCAGAGCAGGGATGTTGTGGGATTGCCCTAGAAAAGCAGAATCTGGTGCTGCGTAATATTTCATCTGCTTTTGATCCTTTTCAGTTTGCGGCGGTACCGGGGGACTCGGGGACAGTGAAAGACTGTACATTATCTGTTCAACTTAAAAAGGGTTCCAAAAAGAAAAAAAAAGTATAATACAACTAATCAATTCGCCGTAGAAACATAACGTTTAGTATTGTAGGAGAATTTAATATATTAGTAGTGATTCTTGTAATGCTTTTTAGTCAGATACGGTTGGAAGTGTGAATTCTTAATTGCTTTAATTCGCACACTTCTTTTTTAACTGCCTATCTAAAACCAAGTGTTTAGGTCGTTATACTGACAAGGACTGTAGATTAAATTGCATGCAAACTAGTACAATGATTTGCAAGACATGTCTACTATTAACGCTGGCCCATTCAGTCGATCAGTCAGTTCACGTCTGCATTAAACAATTTGAGTAGAAATTAGTATTAAATGTTTTCGTGTCGCGTTATGCGTTTTAGGATATCTACACATCTTGCTCTATTTTGTAAATAATTAAACACTCGGCATAGAGAAACCTTTGGACCTATGTACAGAAAAAAAACTCGTAATTGACTTTCGCTTAACTAGTGAAGTGTTTCAAGGCGGGATGATGGGAATGTACAAGTTTACTCCAATTTAGCTCAGGCTCAGATCGCCTTGAATGAAAGTAACGTATTTAATTGGTTGTCTGTTCAATTTAATTAATAAAATAGTGGGCTTGTTTAACAGAATTAAACGGGGTCATGACCTTCGAAGGTCTTTTTTTGTGTAACCAGTCTTTGTGCATATTAAATGGCCCATTGTGAGCACCTGGTCTTTGTTTCCCGCTATGAATGCTATGCACAATAGCATCACCATTTGAAAGAAAATGCCCTAAGCCTCCGCATTTATATTGTATATATGTGTTAATTAAATGTTGCTACGTTAAATGATTGAGGTTATTATAAATGTTTAGTACATTCGTTAACTGATCGACAACTCCAGATCTTCAATAACGATAATAACGACAGTGGCACACTTGTGGCTGTTTTGTGGTTTGAAGACCAGGGGTATCGCACAATATTTTTCCCTCCGCTTTGCACAGTGTTGTGTACTTCACTAAAAGTGGTTATCATAGCCTCGGGGAAAGAGGCGGCAGTTTGCTGGTTCTTTGATGCATGCATATCAGCCATAGCCTTGCCACAGAGAAAAAGAAAAGAATTTCATTTTGAAGTGGCTACAGGCAGGAGGGGAGTTCTTTTCAGCTGCCTGACAGTGCAATTACACACATTTCAACTGATCTCCCTGCATTTAGATAACATCAGCGAGCTATGGTAATTGTCTGCTACCTCATTATCCCGCCTACCCTCTACAAAGAGAAAGATGCGCTTTATTAAAACGCCTGAAGAGAAGCCCGACTTCAGTCATAACATTTTCCTGTGAGCCGCAGATGCCCACAACAGAGCTTTTGGTATTCTTCTAAGCGTGGAGATGCGATTTTTCAAACCCGTTTATTTCATCATGTCTTTGCCTATTATAAATGCATCTAACGCATTTCGCTAAGAACACATGAACTGTATAGCCGTACAGTCCCACTCGACGTAACTGTTGAGGAATTCATCGGATACATGAATTAATTATTATAATTAATAAAAATAAAACCAGTTAAAAGGCATGGTTATCTGGAAGTAGGGAATCTGTTTTAATAGATATACTGTTGATTTTGGAGTGGCAATTTTGGGACATTAACAGCCAGTGAAGAAATTTGATTGTGAATGTTGTGATTCAAATGCATGACTATTGTCACCTATGAACTACCATTATTCTCCCTGCAATTAGAGGTGACTCACTTGGTATTAGGTGTGTTGACACTACCTGCCTAATTGATCATAGGTTGGTTGTGTGTGTTTGTTTGCATGTGTATTGTGTAGTGTGGGGTTACCGAAATTTGCTTCAGCAGTTTACTTTGAAATATGGTGTTTATAGGCCACAAACTCTCCATTAAACAATTCACGACAATTGAAAGGAACTGACCTCTCTCATTGCACTAGATTTAAATCGAAATGTCTTTCGCAGCTGGAGCTTGGTATTATTACCATATGACTTAATATAGCATGATTGGCTTTGGTGCCTGAGTGTTCTCATTAATTTAAGTAGCTATTTTAAAGTCAGTGCTATTTTCCAAACTATGAAAATGAGTCAAAAGAAAGCTTAAACACAAGAGAAAGCTATTCTCAGTTGTCTTGCTTGTTTGCTTGCTAGCAGATAATCAATCTAAGACACTCACCTACTCATTTCTTGAGAATTCTCATTGTGAGCTTCAACCGCATGGCTAAGTGTTTTATTGTAGAAATACTCTTGTTGTATAGTCAGGATGTGCCTCCTGTATTCACTCTTGAATGTATATTCTTTTTTATGTGAAAATGTTTCAGTATTATTATTATTGTAATTCTCATGTACTGACACATATCAAAGTGATTTACCAAAGACCACCAAGGAAGACGTTATCTTTGCTCTGAACTCTGAACTGTCTTTCTGTTGGGAATTCGTACTGCCTTGGGGCTGTAAACTGCATTTTAAACAGGAGATAAAGGAGAAAGCAGATTCCTTCTCAATTTATCTAACCTTAAAACTAGTTGAGAGCCCATCTGTTTCTGCAAAGAGATCTCTGGGTCTGCTTGGCAAAGTATTTCCAGTTTTAATTTAAGAATTTTGCTGCTGGTCCTGTCTGCAGATCCCCTGCTGTTTTTAACTTGTGCAAAATCCCCCTTTGCTCCCCCTCTCTCTTTTTCCATGGCAGGCTGCTTATTTGCTGGGGTGAATGCCCTCGTACACCTGGGTTGGCTGTCTTAATAAGGCATTTGATTTTTGAAAGCAGTAGTTCCAGATGAAAGGAGCAGGTTTTCTCGTGCTAGATTGCTCATTCAAAAGCTCCTGTTGTCTAGGGGGTGTCAGCCTGTGGGGTCTGTCGATTTAATCGGTTTCATCGTCCACTCTCCACCACCCCTGTTATCAGGACTGGGTGCTGACAGCCTGTGTCAGTGCAGCTGGGGGTCAGAGCTTCTCGTTTCAATATCCCACTTATTTTGCACCATTCAAAACCCAGAGAAGACGGGTTTTTCTTCAAAGCGGTAAAGCACATCGTTCAGTATAGGAGCTGCCTGCTCTGTGACATGACCTGAGTAAGGTTAGTTTTCCTCACATCCGCACCACTTGGTTACAGTCCCCATCACCCCCACTGTACTGGGATACTTTGGATTTTTATATCATACAAAGTATCTGTTCAAAACAGGGGCATGCAGTGATGGCTCTGCTGTCTAGATATTAACAGGCAATGTTGTATGGGGCTGGGTTAATTTCTGCACTGATGTTTCATTACATTCTGAAATGTATTTTCTTAAAAAGCAGGGGGATGAAAGAAGCATATAATGTCATTGGGTTCATTCGACTCCGCACACGACACTGCCCTGTTATTACTCGAGAGCTGCTTCTTGAGCTCTGTGTGTGACGGCCCTGTCTCCGCAGCGGCAGAAGATCTGACGTCTGCCTGCAAGAGCTGTTTCGGGGAGGAGGCAGCCCATAAGGGTTGGGAGGACCAGGGTTTCGGGTGTGGGACAGAAGGACACATTCAGTGGAAGCACACAGGCAGTTGACATGTAGAGTATGGAAATGTTTACAATCCATAGAGCAAGAGTTTTGTCAATAGAGTCATCACAAATATAGTCAAAATAAAGTTGTACCAGGCTGAGGCTGCAGAGGAAGGGGTGGACTTGTTACAACGTTACTTTTGCTACATGTGTTATCGTTGTATTGACAAAGCACTTTCTTTTATGTAATGCAAATCTTTTCTCGTTCTACACCTTTGTATGTGTCTGAAGAATACTGCAAACTTTAAACTTTCAAATTGCAGTTCCTGTCAAAATGTTCAAGCTTGACTGAGATGGAGGGCATCTCAAGGGCATTGTCTTGGGCTTCAAAATGTCTGGGTGCAGCCCTGCTGGGGCACATGAATAGCTGTAGGGACTAATTTTGTTTTCCATGCCCAGAGAACTTAAAAATGTAATTGTGACCTGTTTAATGCCCCCCCCCCGTAAAATTATTGATCTCAGAAACACTGACATTGATAATTCAATCTGGAGGGAGAATATCTGAATTCTTTTACTTCTTTAAGAGTTCTAAAGTACATGCAAAAAATAGAAAGTTAATTCCCACACTTACATGAAATGTGTGTTTCACCATTACGAGTAAGACAAAATATGTGATCAACTGAGTACTTCGAAATCAATTTACTAATACAACCTTCTTTTGGTTTTGAATATTTTGAAATATAGGTAAATCTTATAAAAATGTCAACTAGCCAGAAAAGCCTTACCTACTTGAACGTCTTCAGAAAAAACTTAGTTTTGTCTTTATGAAAATGTGGAATCATATAAGCTGCTGTGGCCTACATCACAGATATATGAAATATTCCACATAGTGACAGTGACAGCTACTGTATATTGTTAAGTGTCATCTCATCGTACAGTGAAAAAACTTGATACTAATTTGGATTCTTACTACAAGGTCTATGCGATTATCAGGCCTTTGTTATCATATTTTTCCTCATCCCTGGTTGTTTTTGTATTTGTATGTTAAATACAATGATTAAATGGGGTTCTGCACTTCTTAATCTCTTTC